AAAGAAAACAGACGGAGAATAAAAAAAAAACGGACTGCGATTGGATTTGGATGCGGATATGGCCGCGTCCGGCTTCACAAGCACATGCAAGCCACATGTTGCCAGACAGCGTTGCACTTTCGGGTAAACACCGCTATATGAGACGAGGGGCGACTTTAGCTTACTATTTCATTGAAAATATCTCGACTTATATTCCGGTTTATACGGTACTTACAGTTGCTGCGCTTTTGCCTTTGATGTCTTAAGGTTTAATATATGTGAATTTAGTGTAAGTCTGGTCGCTTGATCAGCGTTGCATGCTTAGTAAAAACTACTGAAATGTCTTGTGTTCAGCGAAAATTCTAATTAACAGTGATGTGTGGCCTGAGGAATCTGCTCCAAAACTAAATTTCGATATGCTTCAAAACACACCTTTTGCTGCTCCAAAACTCTTTTTACTGCTTGAAAGCTGCTCCAAAACTGCATTATACCTGCTCCTAAAGCTGCTCCAAAAGACTGAGGCCCGCTTCCGCCAGTTTGTTGCACAGCAACACATTCGCACGTCCAAAAACGTGTTGGCAAATGCACGGTCGACGACGCGGTCACACTGTTCCGGGTTGTAATCACTGCAGTTACCGAGCGTGACGCGTCATGTGCACTTGAGCATGAAACACCAACACCAGCCTCACTTGTGATGACGGAGCCTTGCGCCTATGGCATAGCAGTCTTGACTCCGCAATAAGCATCGATGCTGTCGTTGTCTTGAAGAGACAAAGCAGAAGCTGCTCAGCATCGATGCTACTATCGCCCGCGTGTTGGCACTTGAACAAGTCTCACCATGCATATGAGCTTCATCTGAAGCTCATACGCATGATGAGCTTGAATTGAACCGAACACGTGCAGTCCCAAACTTTGTTCTGCCCATAATTAGTGACAGCGCAACAATCACCGTCCCGTGAACACCGTGAAAGATCGTCTCGTAAAGACGCTGAAAGATAGATGAGCACACGTGAGAACCGACCACGATGATGGCGAACAATACACAAAACACGCCAGCATTGCAAGCACCGAAGCAGACAACAAGCCAGCGCATACCGGGCGAACAGATGCGTCATCGCTTGCAGCAGCCAATCGGAGCTGCTACTTCTCTACTCCTTCGAAAGGCGCGCACTTTCTTCAATCGCAGCTTTGCGTCCAAGCCGCAGGAAACTTGAAAACTTGAAGAGCCCTCCCAATCATCGGCAATTGCCACTTCGGCCACGCAGGTGCTGCCGCTGTGGATGGCAAAAAAAAAAAAAATTGCAAGAATTCACGAGCAAAACAACACCAAGATGGTGGCACTATGGTAGTGGGTTGGGAATTGTGAGGGCACGAAGTTGGGGGTATTTTCAGTGCTTGCCGGCTGACGAGGCATGTTGGATGATTTATTTGACATACTTTCCCAATTAATTAGACATTGATATTTATAGAACAGATAGTTTGAGACATGCCATCCAAATATATGGTTGTCAAAAAATCAACTTTATCACGATTTTTTGGTTTTCAAAGGGCACATCCCCCCTTGAGGCCCCTCAGCAGAGGTAACGCACCATTTTGGCGCCGGCTTCACATAGACAGCACACCTGGACTGACCCACTCAGGGGAAATCGGCAGTCTCCTTTTCTTGTTTCTCTCTCCAGTTAAGTTCGTCTTTCTCTCACACCGTTTATCTCTCCTGTCATCTTATCTTCTTTGTTCGCTTCAAAATTTCCTGGCGGCGACGGTTAACCTGGTGTAGCTATCCAATCTAGGGTAATTATAGCAAGTTATAGCGGTGATGCATGGCTGGCGAGTCCAACTGGCCTTTGTTGAGACAACTCTACTCACTTCGCGTGAGAGGCCTCTCTGAAGAAACAGGTGTGTCGCTTCTCGAACATGGTTTTATGGCTCCTGCAGCATGTCTGCTGCTGTGGCAGTGGCACACGATAGAATGCGATGTGTCTTTCTTAGAGGTTACGAAGCATGCATCATTGCACATATTCAAACATACTTCCTGGAACTTCGTAAATATACATGTCCTGAGTTCTTCACCGTTGCCTCATAGTCACACTTCTGTGTCGTATGCAGCGGTAGGCCCATTCTTTGCGTATTCCAGCGTTCTGCATTCTGATACAAGCATTTTTGCAGAAGCTTATGCGACACTGGCGGTTGTTATACACTTTAAATATGTCAAACTATAAAAGGTGTTAATTTACACAGACTCCTAAGTGTGGTAAAAGCTCTGCAAACTCTCAAAAAGCAGAAATACTTCGTCCTCATTTCTCTTTACTCACTTTTATGCACAGTGTACGCATCCAAATAGCATGTCATTGTCTGCTGGGTGCCAGGGCACCGTGAGATACATGGAAACATTTTGGCAGACCAGCTAGCAGCATCCGCCAACGAAACTGCTGCAAGTACATCAATACCAATCCCTGCACTTGACCTGAAACCCTATCTTAAAAGAACACTCGGGGATCATTGGCTGCAATTATGGGGCTGGCAAACACAGAACAAGCTTCATCTTGTAAAGCCACATCTAGGCAAATGGCCGCCAGTATCGATGTCACTCCACACAGAAGTCACACTTACCAGAATAAGAATAGGACATACACCTTTACAAATTCATTCCTTTTGTCTGGTGGCGATCCATCATTGTGCGACAGATATGGAGAACTACTTACGCTTCTCTACATCCTTGGCCAGTGCAATAAGCTAGATGCTCTAAGAAGAAAGCACCTTTTATTATAGCAGCTGCCACTACATCCTGTCATGCTTATCGGTAGGGATCCGCTTTTTAAACTTCAATCACTGTTTACGTTTACAAATGGTGTACCTAGCTTTCACCCCATACACCGACCGAGCTGATCTGTAGCACAACCTCCTTACCGAAGTCTCGTCTGCGATGGCTACATCCTCACCATGATTTCTTATTATGACCTTTCGGCATTCACTCTCACTGCACTTATTTCACGTCACTGCCATGATTTTAATACTATGTTTTTACACACGTTACCACGAGGAATTTAAAGCACCTATACAGTCCCATGCAATATCATTGTTCACATCTCTTGTCTACTGAAATGGTGCTCTTTGGCCATCAATTGGCCCTTGCCCCATAAAGCACCACACATCATCAAACTCGCCTTTCTGTGCTCCAGTCCGCAAAATCTGGGAGACCAAAGGCTGGAGCAGGGCCAAAGGGAGTAATGTATTAGCTAACATTGCTTAACAACGTCTAGTTTAAACGCAGCTGAGTACTGCCTTCTCGTACCGCTACTCATAGCCCCGCCGCGGTGGTTTAGTGGCTAAGGTACTCGGCTGCTGACCCGCAGGTCGCGGGTTCGAATCCAGGCTGTGGAAGCTGCATTTCCGATGGAGGCGGAAATGTTGTAGGTCCGTGTGCTCAGATTCGGGTGCACGTTAAAGAACCCCAGGTGGTCGAAATTTCCAGAGCCCTCCACTACGGCGTCTCTCATAATCATATTGTGGTTTTGGGACGTTGAACCCCACATAACAATCAATCAATCAGTACCGCTACTCATATTCAGTGAATGAAAAAAAAAAAGACCACTAAAATGAAACATAATGTCAAACGGAGGGAGAACTTAGAACAGATCGGAGGCAAATCGTGAACACAAAAAAACAGACAAGAGAGAAAAAAAAAAAAACAACCTGCTATTGGATTTGAATGCGAATATGGCCGTGTCCAGCTTCTCATGCACATGCAAGCCACAAATTGCCAGACAGCGGTGCACTGTTGGCTAGACACCGCTATATAAGATGAGGGGCGATCTTAGCTCATTGTTTTATTGAAAATATCTCGACTTGTAGTACCGTATAAACCGGAATATATTTGACTGGTGTCTTATATAAACAGTGCCATTTCGATTGAGTGTACATCTTGTGAAGGGGTGTCATATGCTTGCATTTGGTAGTTTGGTGAAATTGCGCAGTAGCAACACTTAGCACACAACGGAGTCTCACTGGGAGTGTGCGATAGCATCTCACGATGCGGGCTGAAGTTCAGCATATGCTTACGTAGCTTCTTTCTTCCTTGTCATCCTCCCTGTGTAGCTTCCAGCACGCCTGTTGGGACGAAAAAAGAAAGTGCATGAAGCGTGCTACAGACCTTTTCAACTCTGCCTGTTTTTCACTTATGTGAAGAATGTTTCCAGCAATGCATTTGTGAGGCAGATACTGATTTTATGGGATTTCTTGGAAATGTAATCAGGCAGACAATGTTCTGCCATTAGCCTTGCCATCCAAGACTCGCTGTGTCTGAAATAAACAATAAACAAACGAACAAACAAAAGTGGTTTAGCACCCCTTTAATTCTCATTCCTGAGCTGCATTGAATATGATGCTGGCTCTTATTGTATCACTGCCATGAATGTTGTTTAGGCTGTGCATTTGATAGTAATATTCGGCCCATTTTTGTGTCATCTGTTTAAAAATGTGCCTATTTGCCTCATTCTCCATGTACTTCTAATGGTACAGATACTATAGAGGAATGCGAGCAGAAGTTGATAAATGCACACTGTGTTGTAGAACCCTAATGTGCAGCCCTGCCGAGGGGGTCTAGTGGCTCAGGTACTCAGCTGCTGACCCGCAGGTCGCGGATTGGCTGGGGCGGCTACATTTCCGATGGAGGCGAAAATGCTGTACGCCTGTGTGCTCAGATTTGGGTGCACGTTAAAGAATCTGAGGTGGTCGAAATTTCAGGAGCCCTCCACTACGGCATCTGTCATAATCATATGGTGATTTTAGAATGTTAACGCCCACATATTATCAACCCTACCGTGCAGCCTAATTGAAACCTTTAGCGTAGCTCTGATGTAATTTGGGGGTCGCTACTGTTCAAGAATTGTGCTTCCAGCTTGTCATTATCTTTTGGCTAGTTTTGTACTAATTAGTTTTGATAGTTTTAGAAATTTTGGCATTTGATCAACATTTTGTTTTGCTTTTGAGGTGTATGGACAAGTCTGATTTGGGTGATGCAGGGAATCAACGTGCACACGGAAGAGCTGCTGCGTGAGCCAAGTCTCATCACTTTTGTGAAGGAGCACAAGTTGATTCTTTTCTGCTGGGGAGATGACAACAACGACAGCGAGACCATCGCTAGGCTGAAGCGCAAGGGTGTTGATGGTGTGATCTATGACAAGTGAGTGCCTGCGCTTTTTTGAGTGCGAGCTACAGTAGGGCAACCACGCATGTACACTAGTCTGCCGATGGAAAAGTATCAATTGACAAAATTTATTCTATTGTATTGAACCTCTGCACATGCACGTGCGCGCACTCACACACACGAAAGAAAAACACAGTAGAATCTACAAAATAGAAGCTCAGAAGTCGGGGAAAAATGTGTTCGGAGTTCTGTCTACTGTTAATAATACAGTTGACTCCTGTTAATACGAACTTGAAGCGACCACGCTTATTTGTTCTTCTGATCAGGAGTTTGGCTTATCAGAAGTTCTCGCAAAAAATGAAATGCTAACATGCAAAGTAGGTCTAAACATTTCTTGTCTTTCCCCTAACTTCGTTCTCCACAGCAACTGTAGCACAATTCCTTAGTTCATGAAAAATGAACTAGCCCAATACCTCATTTCTTGTTCAAACATGTTGTAGTCAAACAATGATATATCGATCTCGAAGGGGATTGCCAATTAGTTCGATATATGAAAAATTCGACATAAAAAATACAGGCCCCGAGAGCTTATCTGTAGCAGACCATCACCTACAATAGGCGTATTCAAGAATGACAACTGATTCCGCACACACGTTGCAACAGAATAATTTATTTGTGTGAAAAAAAAAATCGCTGATCTTGGCCTGCTTTTTCAGTTTTTAAATTAAGTTGAAGACGCTAGCCCCGATCTTATCAAGGCTGTCCTGGTGTGACAGCCCGATACCCTCCCTGTGGCCGATACAACGGCGAATGACTTCGAACGCTGCCGCCACTTCAACGATGGAGTACGCGCGTGCAGCCAGCGCCTCATCCGGACGATCCTCCTCATCACATGAGCTGTCAGCCTGGGCATCCTGGGTCCCTGCGACCGCAACTACTATCTCTCTAAGCAAGGCTCGCAACGGCCTGGACATTGCAGTCCTCTTCTACGAAATCGTCCCAACATTTCGTCTGGAACTGCTGCCGGGAAGAGGAACTACTCGCAAAACGCGTCATCTATGCGCTCGTCATCGCAGTCTTCACCGGTTTCTGCAAGTTCAGTCGTTTGGAAGCCTACCTTGCGGAAGCAGTTGATCACTGTGCCAGTCTTCACGTCTCGCCAGGCGTTAAAGGTCTCCATGAGAGAAAACTTGATGGAGATTTTCGGCCACTCATTCATCCACTGCTACATGTCCTGGCTGCCGACTGCTTCACTTTCCCCAGAAATGGTTTTGCCAACGATGTTGTAGCGGTGCTTAAATCAGTTAAGCTACCCGGGGTTGTCGGCAAAGTTGTATTCACAGAGTGCAGCGGCAAACCATTTGGCCTTGATCATCAGCATCGGGCCGTCTACCGGAAAGTTCTTCGCGCATACTTCTAAAAACCAGCATAGTGCCTTTTCCACATTCCCATAAGCAGGAGTGTGCACACGACAGGGTCCCAACGTTCGCTGCTCTGCCGCCTTTGCTTTGATATCTGCTTTGTTCTTCAACAAGGTACTCGAAGTGCTCCGTGGTATCCTGAAGTCGTCCGCGACGGTCGAACATTTCTCGACCGCCTCAACAAGCTGAATTGCCTACAACTTCGTCACAAAGTCAAAGGTGTTGCGTTTCTCGACCCTGGCCATACCTACACGAGAAGTCAACCATTCAAGGAGTTCACAGCGGCTTTGCACACCACGCACACAAAAGTGGAATGCTGCATATGCGGTGGTACGTAGGCGATGCCACAATGGAAGCAAAAAAGCGCTCGCGCGGTGATGGCCGCCTGCACGAGCAATAGCAAAAGGCGCGAGCTGTGGTTGGCTGATCAAAATTCGCAAAAGAGCAACACAAAAATAAAAGGCAAAAAGAGGAGCACGTCAGGTTCTTTGTTTCTGCTCTCTGAGCTGACGGGTGTGCTCAGAGAGCAGGTACGGAGAGTGTGCTTGCAAGGACCATGAAGGCACAACCTATGCTGCAGGACAGTTCTAATAACATGCAGCGCTTCTCAAAGTTCTCTTGAACATTATGGCCAAAGATTACGCATTTCTGACAACTCTATAGTATAAAAAGTGCTTCAAACTTTCAAATGCATTTTTCTCCTTCTGTGGTTTTGTGTGATCTGTGCTGCTTATGCACGCTAGTTAGTATACTTAGAAATGTCACAACTCTATGAAACTTTGCACATAGCATGATGAAAGCCTGTAGAGTGCAAGTATCTATATTTATTCTCAACACTGCTTAGTTATGTTTCTCAAAACATAACATTACATAACAATGAAAGCCTTTGGCGACTAGAGTCATGATAGATTTTTCTATTTTATTATTGTATTTTACCTTTTTATACATGAAACTTGTATAGTTTTCTGCACTCTACAGTTCCAAAGGATCATAGTGAGCTATATTTGCATGCTTTATTTCAAAGTTTTATAGGTCAGAATTATTGCATAACAATGACCATAATTTTGCAGTATCTGAGCTGCAGAAATAAAACCAAACAAGCTACATGAAAATAAATGACATATTTGAAAAGAGGAGAAAAAACTCTTAGCATGCCAATTCGTGTTCAAATCAGACTACTATTACATACCTGCCAACTCTCCCGAATTATCCGGGAGACTCCCGAATTCGGACCTAATCTCCCGATTGTACTAATGTCATCTCGAATCTCCCGAAAAGTGGCCACCACAGCAGAGGCAGTTTTTTTTTTTGTTCTCTTTTTGAGATCATGCGCGTACGTCAGCCTTTTCTGCTGCGGCAGTGGCGGTGCTGCGGAAGAGCACTCGCCACCACACTTCTATTTCATTGTAACCATATTGTAGAGTACCGCTGAGTACATTCTCGGCACTGCGCATCTTGACGAAGGCTGGCCGCGAGAAGCGCTCGCCGCCGTACTGAAAGAAGGCGAGGGAAAAGGTAGTCTCAAACGAAAAAGATTGCGGCGCTGCATGTTCACGAGCGCTCCGATAATGAGAGGGCGAGACTGCTGTCGAACACATTCCATTTTCCAAAGGAGGGGTGGCTGGTAGACCGGCGGTAGGCGGACCCCAATGTGCTTTGCACTCTCCATATCGGCGTGCTTCGGAGAAACAGCGCCGACAGCGCCGCGTGTCGCATTCTTGTCGCTCCGGCCACCGTTCAGTTCACTTGCTTCCGTTGTGCCTAGCCAGAACTTCTTCTCCGTCTTGGCCCCCGCATTTTGTACGCTACGCCTACGCCGTCTGCAGTGGTTGTGGGGGTTGCGTGTTTCCAGAGTTCAGTTAGAAGGTCAATGGCGGCGTCAAAATCAAAACAGTAGTACTTGCAAGTGTTTCTGGACTCATACACAGCTGAGTTTCCATGCTTTGTGACTTCGCGGAAAGGTGACAAGTACGGATTCTGTACCACGTGCGTCTGTGATGTGAGCGTGTCGCTTGGCGGGAAGGCCGATATAAAGGTGCATATCGCTTCACAGAAGCATCAGAACTGCGTTCGTGCTGCGGAAGGGCAAAGCAACATCGGTAGCTTTTTCTAAAAGAGCTGCGAAGACAGTGCGATCCGCGCAGAATGCTTATTCACGGGATTCCTTGTGGAACACAACTTGCCGCTAAGCGTTAGTGATCACGCAGGGCTGTTGTTTCGGAAAATGTTCCCGAAGTGCGAGGACGCGAAGCGGTACGGGTACGGACGTAAGAAAACAACTGTCATCGTCGAAGAAATGGCTGCACATACCGGAAACACAATGGCGGAGGCTCTGAAATGCCGTGCTTTCGCAATCGCAGTGCGCGGAATCAACGACAGCGGGTCGCAAATGTACCCAATCGTGGCAACGTACTACGTCGAGGAATCGCGAAACGTGGAAAGCCGGCTGCTTTGTTTGCAGGAACTCCATGGAGAGGCCACCGGACGAAAGATTGGAAACCTCGTTCTGGACGCGCTCAAATCGCGTGGTATACCGATTGAGAACTGCATCGCATTTTCTGCCGACAATGCCAATGTGATGATCGGCAAAAAAAAACGGCGTGGCAGCTGTGCTAAAAGAAGCCCAAGATAATTTGATAGTCGTTAGCTGCCCGTGCCACCTTACAAATCTTGCGGCCGAGAAAGGAGCCGCATGCTTACCTGCAAAATTCGACGAGGTGCTCGTGGACATCTTCTACGACCTTGAGAAGAGCGCCAAGCGGAAAGACAGGCTTGTTGAATTTCAAGGGATGCACAACACGGAGGTGCGGAAGATTTTGAAACATGTGCCAACGCGGTGGCTATCGCTTGGAAGGTGTCTCACCAGATTGCTGGAGCAGTGGCAGCCCTTGGTCAGCTTCTTTTTTAATGAGACAAAGCTAAAAAGCCAGCAGCGCCCAAGCTTTCTGGGGTCGTACCAGATCCCCAAGACAGCTGCAGCTTCGGTAGATGTGCCCGACGAAGTCCAGCGAGATCACCAAAAACGAAAGGAGCCAAGAGGCAAGATTGATGCAACTCCGGCAAAGAAAGTGAAGCTTTCATCTGAAAGTACCGGACGTGCCAGTTTGACCCGTGAGGAACGGCTTTTGTACTTCCTGACCTCTGATGTAAACTTCGCTTATGGACTTTTCTTGAAGAGTGTCATCCCTGTGTTTGACAAAGTCAGCGCCCAACTTCAGTCACAGGCACCTCAAATTCATCTGCTCCAGTCCCTCTTGATACAGTTCCTAAGGGACCTTTTGGCTAGGTTTGTCAATCCCTCTGCCATTAAGGCCTGCTCTTCGCCACTGGAGGTTCCCTATAAAGATCTAAAGAACCAAAAAGCCAACAAAGATCTTGTCCTCGGGAGCCGCACATTGTCTGTTGTGGAAGGACTGCGTGCCAGTGAGAAGCAGGAGTTTTTTTCTACTGTTCGGAAGTACTTTACTGTCACATGTGGCTATATACGGCACAAATTTCCACCGAAGAATGAAACCTTGAATAAAGCGGAAGTCGCTAATTTGAAGTTTTTGAACGACGCATCTTTCACAAGCCTTCGCTTCTTCGTTGAGTCCTTCCCGCAAATTCTGCCCGAGGGGAAGAATGAGTCAAGAGTAGAAGCCTTCGATGCTCTTGAAGTGGAATTTGCAGAACTGTAGGCACACCGTATTTATGAGGACATTCTAAGTGAAGAGAGGATTGATGTTCAGTGGTCAGAAGTGGGAAGAATCACTAGGTTGATGGAGAAGTGAAATTTGGTAGAGTGTCAAAGGTGATGCTGCAGCTGCTTGCCATTCCACACAGCAATGCTGAATGTGAGAGGATATTCAGCACGGTTAAGAACACGAGAACTGAATTTCGGTCTTTGCTTTCAAACAAGACTCTAGGTGACCTCCTCATGGTGAAGAGTCACCAAACTGGACGTTGTTTTGAGCAGTTGTATTCTGACAACTTTTTGAGGCTTGCGAAGTCCGCAACTGCCAGGTGCCTTCACAAGTAAAGAAGTTTGGTTCAAGCAGCAGCTCAAAATAAACATCCCTACCCCCCTCCCTGATGTCAGTCTCCAGTCTAAGTAACTTCCGCTATGCAACCCCCCCGCCCCCCGCTGCGGTCTCCCGAATTTCGATGCTGCGAGGTTGGCAGGTATGCTATTAAAGAAAATCATTTTCCAAGTAGCATCTCCCCTTAACTTTCCTGAACGATGTGCAGCTGAAGATCTCTGTTTGTGCTACTCGCGGTCACGAGCCTCAGGTACACAAAAAGGACACGACACAGCTATATTTACTATGCAAAATGAATTGCCTTTGTCATGCACTTTCGTAGCAAAAATAACTCGCTACGATTTGCACTTTGCTGGAAACAGATAGGACGCACGCAGACATTATGCAAAACAATGTGAACTGACCCAAATATGGGCTCGGCACATTTGTGTGACGGCGATGACAATGCATCTGATCCCTCTGATGGAAAGAACTGCTAGCGCTGCAAATGCGGTTTTGGTTTCATATGCGAATAAGACGCAGAAGCAATTTTCGCTCCCGTTTTCACTTTCATTTCCCCTCCCTTTGTGTTTTCCCCTCTAGCCAAGCTCTTTTCTTCTGTTCTTCATTGTACTCCTGTTGGGGAACTGAAGGACGTGGGAAGAATACAAAAGAATGGCTTGAGAGTCCTTGTAGTTTGGCCTGTGGGGTGGCACTCCTTAATGGGATTTTTTTATTTCGTGCATTGAGTCTATGGGAAACTTCTGAAATGATATTGTTGCTTTCTTGGGTGGTAAAGCCAGCTCTTTCTCCATCTATTGGCTAGGAGTGAGGAAGATACCAGCTTTATGCGGTGACCTTTTTTTTTTTTCGCTTATCTCGCTTCCTCTCTCCACGTCTCGGTTTGCTTTGGGGTTTTATGCCAGGAAGTTTTTCTTTTTGCTATCTGCCCCACCAAGACTACAATGTTTGATACAGAGTTGCCATCACTGTCAGTCACTGCGGGAGTTTGTCGTAACAGAAGAGGCCTCTTGCGCAGTGGATCTTGAGCAGATTCTTTTTTTTTACACCAAGTATGTGGGAAACCAAACAAATATTCCCATGTTGTTCAGCTTAACAACAGAGTTCGTCTTAACAGGAGTTTACTGTAATTGTTGCGGTTCAACATCTAGAAACCATGATACGATTATGACGAATGCTGTAGCGGAGGGCTTTGGAAATTTATACCTCCTCTGGTTCTTCAACATGCTCCTAAATCTAAGTACACGAGCCTCAAGCATTTTTGCTTCCATCGAAAGTACGGCTGCCGCAGCCAGGATTCAGTCCCATGACCTGTGAGTCGGCTCTCAAGCACTATAACCACAAAACCACCGTGCCAAGTTTCTAAAGTCTGGTGTGAAAGAGGTGCTGCACTTTGTTTTGCATTTTCTCGACGTTAAGTATGGAAAGTGTAAAGACGCAAATGTGTTGGCTTATTTGTGACATGGTACGGAAAGTGGTTTCAGCCTGCTGGATAGACTTGGATTAGCTAGTTGTTTTAACGAGGCACCCATGACATATTCAAAGGAATAACTTTCACGGGTCCTATCGCCATCTGAGTAACGTGCTATTTCGCAGGGATAGTCTGTGCCACCGTTTAATCGAAAATGGCATTCTATTCGGAGATGGCAACCTCGATAATTATTTAGGATGGTTACTATTAAAAAAAAAACTTTATCAAGTTTCACACCCACCCACCCGCCTAAGTGTTTTATAGTAATCGTGCATTGAACAGAGTGCCTGCTCTGAAAGCTCACACGTTGCTTCAAAATCTCTGACATGATGTCATCGCCAGGTCTCTGGTGGCCAGGCTAGCAGATGTTTCGGTCCTAGGCAGTGCTTACTCCTCTACCTTCTCGTGTCTCCCAACTAGGCTGGACTTGTTCATCACCAGGAGTCCGGAGAATGAGAGCGTGTTCCACGTGGACCCTGGTTCGACGGTAAGTCTGCTCGAGGCGGCCAGCAGCAGCTGCTCCAGGGAAACCCTGCCCGAGAATAGTGTGTCTTCAGCCGCCCATTCCTGCAGTGTTGGCGGCTCCTAGTGTCCTTTTACTCCCCTCGTTGCGCCTGCAGATAGGGGACGAGGAAGAACGGGTAGCTGCACGGTGTGTGTGTTTTAGAGAGCTCTGCTTCTCGTCTTCCCTGCGCCATGCGACAGTTGTGCTCAACAATTCTTCCCACACTCCCAGCTGTCATTGGCACTGGCGGAATCGCTTGCCTCCTTCCCCTCACTTTCTGAACGTTGGGTGACGCCTTGAAAACTGCTATGTAGCACCCTAGTGCAGACGAGTCCAGAGTTCATTCCCTTGTTTTCATCGTCATTGTTGATCTGTACTCCTCGAAGAGGTCTTTCTGTACAAGCCAGTGGTGACTCAAGTTTGAGATTGGTTCCCTAGCATGTGACGAGTTATAGATATTGTGCTATTGGACGCAGCTCTGCTGCCTCACTGCACTGTTGCCTGATAGTTCTGTGAGCAACACTGTTGACACTTGTGTGTTAATGACTTAGTGTCAGTGGTAAGATGATGAAGTGGCATTAAATACTGATAACATTACAGGTCATTGTTGAGATGCAGTACTATCAGCTATAGTGCTGTTTAGTCAGCTGTGCAGGGTATCTTAAGAGTACTGGCTTCGTCAGTTAGTATGCAGACATTGCCCCTACCTGTATGTTAGCAAACTTTATTTCATCACCATCAGCTTCCCAAAAGTAGCGTAGGAGGCCTCTGTTGTATAAATATTCATGTAAAATAATTTTTTGGCCACGCTCCTTTTCTCCCCTACCACCCCCGCCTTTTTTTTTGCCGGCGAGTATGTTTTGACGCCATGTCGTTGCAAATTTTTGTCTAGGAATCTTGTGGTGGTTGCCATTAACAAATTTTGCAATGAAACCCTCTATATTCCTGCATTGACACATGCTCAGTGAAAACTTGATACCTGTCAGTGCCTGCTTTGCTGTAGACTGAATAATTGCAGAGTTGATAAGGGGCTTCATGAACAGCAATGCAATTCTTCTGTCATGTTGGCTTGCCTGTGAATTTATCTGCTAGAGTTGTATGTGTAGTCTTGTGCACCTGTGTGCTGCGGCATTAAATATATGCACATTGTGTTCATTCTAAATCTGAGATGTAGATGGGTGAGAAAGCAAAGCGGAAAACTCCTATTCTACTGCATGTGGTTTTAAGGAAGGATTTGGCTGTCTTCCATTAACTTTTTTCTGTCCGTAATTACAATGTGAGTGGCCTGTGCAATGCTATTAGCATGTATCTACCATCTTGAAGTGCCTGATTGTGTGGAGTGTTTATGGAGTTAGGACTTAAACCTCTGTGAAACTTGGCATGCTTGCATAGTTACATGGGATCTCTTGTCCTTATTCTATTTATCTTACTTGCAACGAACACCCACTTGCAACGGTATCATAAACCCCACCAGTCCTTGACGCACAATTGGGGATATGCAAAGTTCTGGGAGTACACTTCCCCATAGATTTCGTTTGAACCCCATGTGATAGCGAAATTGTACTGAAAGTGCACTTAGGGCAGGTGTGCACAAGTTGGCACCGCTTTTCATGCCAACATCTCACCTTGACATCCCTGCTCTTTGAAAACTTGTCCTCAGTTCAGTGGTGAGAGCAGAAGGTTGGCTGTATTGTGTTGACCTGCCTTAGTGTGGCCTACTTGCAATATTTTGCATATCCTTTATTTAACACATTGCGATGATGTCTTTGCTTATAAACCTGGTCTCATGAAAACTGTCCATTACTTGCACATGCTGGTGGAGTAAAAGCTGAAGGCCATGTTTTGATAGAAGTATGGGTTGCCTTCAGTATATATTTAGTTTTAATTATGCTTTTAATGATTTTCCTAACAGATACAGAAAGATTTCATGAACCTATAGGCTGTACTTAACACAGGCGGAATGTGCTTAATGTAGTTCTGGGCTGGTGTGCCTTGGTCTCATGAATGTTTTTTACCTGTACAATTTTATCCATATCCAAGAAGAGCGGCTGCTGTGTTTGGAACTTGCCAGTTTCTGAGCACTACTTTTGGCCGTGGTTCTTTGCTTGGGATCGTAGCACACTAGGCAGATTTTGAAGTGTTACACTGGTAAATTTAAGTTTATCAGGTTATGCTATGGGGTTTCTTTTGTTCATTCATTCGTTGCTAAGTATACTGAGCTGTTATTGCTGTACGATTGTTATGAAGTTATCAAAGACCTTTTTCTTGAATTGCAGTGCAGTAGAAGGAATGGTTCTGCATTAGCAAATTATACTTTAAATAAATAATGCACAGGGAGGAATGTTTTGTTGGCAGTGCATCTTGACAAGTACAGTAAGGCTACACAAGCTGTAAAAGATTTGCAGTCCTGAATAATCGTGGTGTATGCAAAGAAGAAAATAACGACGAAAATTGGAATGGAAGGATGAATTTGCTGAAAAAGGAAAGCAGATGGTACATGATGCTTGTTTAGTTTGCAAATATGGCATTATAAGATGCACGAGCTCCAAGGTTCCAAGGTTTGCAAAGTGTAGTGTAAGAGTTCTGATGTTTCTATAGAGACATGCTGTTTGATTCACACCATGTCAGGCTGTAGTGCCTACCAAGGGCTTTATGTATGTTGGATTATATTTTCTGTATCTACATGCTTTTGTGGGTTAATGTAAATAAAGATGACCAGTGTTCTTTTTTCCCTTCCTGTATTTGCGTTTTGGTTGTTGGGTGTCTATATATTTATCGTTTGAAGCTGACAAGTGGTGTAATTGTAGGCGCGATATGTGTGTGAGGGCTAATGAGCTGTGTCAAGGTGATCATTCCTTTTTGTTTGGTTTGTACAGTCGTGCCAGCTTGAGAACTTGAAAACTGAAACTTCCTTAGATCAGCTGATCTTACCTTCAGCTTGAGCTAACAAGCTACAATATAGCTGTTGTGGTTTGGTTCAGCAAACTTTTTTTATTGACAAACTTGTTTTGTGAGGTTGCTTAAGTTTAATTGAAGTTTCACTGTATGTTGGAAGATCAAATCTTCATCTTGCCTTGCTTGTAAAAAAATTTTCACTGATTGAAAATTCCTTACAAGCATTTATTGATGACTCGTCGACTCTTCTTTTTTTGTGCTGTGTGCATATATATTTGTCAAATGTGCCTCCTAAGTTGGAAAGCCTTTAATGCTTGCTGCTGCTGATACATCACGTAGTGATTAGCTATTGTACAGTCAGATTGATGATCTGACTGGACCAAAGCCAGGATTTCGGGACTGAGTGGGTGGATGGACGACATACATATGTTACCTAGCAGGTTTGCTATTCTATCTTCTTGACATACAATCGGGAAAACTGCACGTGTGAAGTGCAGTTGCCAAGCGCTTAAAAAAAAAAGCTTAATGTATGCGTCGAGTTATGCATCTTGTTGGCTTTAATAAATTATTTTAATAAATACAGTTTCATGATGCTGGTTTTAGCTTCATTTGGACTGTAATGGTAGTTTCATAGTAACTGTTGTGCAAATGTCACACTAGCCAAATGGCAAATTTGTAACTGTAGCTTGTGTATATGCTTCTGCTAAATGGGTTTCACTGGCAACTTTGGTTTCATGCTTCATAAAAGCTAGTATCAAAAGGAGCATAACAGATCGATTTAACGAGGCATCCAGCATAGTCAACTATTGCGCTTGCATGTGTACTGGTTAATTTCTTAACTTCATGTGCAGTACTCGCGGATTGAAACGGGACACTCGGAGCGCCTGGCCAACGGTACATGGGCTGCCGCTCGTGGGCGCGTGTGGAACCAATGTGTTTATTGTGCTAAGCAGCGAGAAAGAGAACACCTACGGAGCAGGATTACTCCTTCCAGTCGCCAAATCGCCGGCCTGTAGTTCACCATCTGTACTCTACCAGCGTGGCGCTGCAAAACTCACACACAATCGCATGCCGACCGCACTAGCTCGCCGCTGCGCACCACTTTTATTGCCATGCCAGAAGACGACCCTCTCATTCTGTGTGCTTAGGCGAAGTAGTACACATGCTGTGCTAGCAAAACACAAAATTTAATTAGAGGTTGTGCGTTCGTAGACATGATAAACATGTGCATAAAATCATGGAAAATTTACTTCTAGTTTCTACCTCGACAAGAAAGAAAATGAGTGCCAGGCTTGCCTTCATACATCATGAAAATATGTATTAGTGTCGTTAGTGCAAACTGTAGCCTATTGCTGAATAAAAAAGCAGAGGCTTGCTCGTTCTTCCGTGGTCGACAGCTCTACAAATGCTTGCCACGCAGAATAGCTGCGCGCACTATTGGCTGCTTGGGGCGAAACAACAAAATACTACGTCATTGTTTTGATGCTGCACGAAAACAGGCCTGTGGCTGCTGCTTTTCTTTTGCGTGTGACAGTAAGCTTGACAAACTTTGTATGCTTTTGTGCAGCCATTTGTGTCTACGAGCTCATCTCAGGCGCAGCATTTTAGCAGTGTCCAATTTCTTACTTGCGTAGCCTTTCGATATCCGGATAAGCGAGTTAATTGAACGACTCCGACACGTTATCCAAGACTCTCGTTGCACCCACCGCCTATACCGAGAGCATTCTAGCCTGGAGGAGTCGTCTCAAGAGATGCCCTACGGCCAGTTCAGCTCCAGCATTGATTCTGACCTGAAGCAATTTCTTCAGCGGTTAGTCTCAATGGGGAGCTGGCGTGCTCCCCATTTCCCTTTTCCTTTTTCTTTCTTTTTTTTAATTTATCACATCGTTCTGACGTAGCCCTCCTCACCAGGCTTCAAGAGCAACTATGGAGGGGGAGAACAGGTGGAATGTGACAGCGACAATGATCGCAAGAAATGTACGGTGGTATTCTTTACAAGCTACCCGGAAAGCTGATGAGAGGTGAACCTGGGGAGTCGAACTTTTCATCACTGGAATTTGCTTAATTTAGCCCCCTGGACCAAAAAACTTGCCATGATTGTGTGTTGTTTAACACTCGTTTTTTTTTTTTTTTTACAAAATGCACCTGCCAATAATAGTAGGCAAACGTGGTCGTTTGACTACTTATCAGTGTATAATGGGTGGTATTGCCACTGGCCCAGGTGCGTTTTTTTGTTTTTTGTTTTTTTTCTTTTTTCCTGATTGATTGATTGATTAAAACGTTATTTTTGTCCTGAGAAGACGCAGGGGAGACCCCGCACCACCCGGCTAATCCCACGTTGGAACCATCAAGCCGAGCTTGGCGGCCCGTTCACGGGCACTCTGGACGGCCAGGGTTTGATCACGAGTGTTGAAGATTGGGCGAGTTGGTTCGTCGTACTTGAACTGGTATAGCGCATTACGGGGAAGAAGAAACGGCCGAGCAGACCGACACAAGAGGACAGAGCGCTAACTTCCAACTGAGCTTTATTGTCAAACTGCATCAAATATGTAGACCGGCGCAAGCATACTAAACCACCATAACGCAACGACAAGATAACACACATCACACCGTCACATATCGCACATTCATAGGCGGTTACCCTGATTAAGGAAGGCCACTTCATGTTCAGATAAACCCAAAGAAGGGGCGCTAATACACGTGCTGCCAGCTCTTGCTATACAATGTGCTTCTATAATTTCTCGAGTTAATTGTGACGGGTGCTTTTTTATCACTTCACATTGGTCAAACATGGGGATACATCCACAATTGCGGCAGTGAATTCCAATGTGGCCCTGGATTGCTTTGTGAGCATTATAATGGTGCTCTTTTAGCCTTTCATTAAGGCATCGCCCCGTTTGGCCGAAATACCACATACCACATGAGAATGGAATCGCGTAAACAACCCCCACCACACACGGCACAAACCGAGTTTTGTGCTTAGTTGCGCAACCAGTGGTATGTGATTTGAGAGGGTTGACAGCTTTGCAAAGCCGATGTAACTTATCCGGCGCTGAAAACACCACTTTGACGCTGCATTTCTCCCCTATCTTTTTAGCCGGTGGGAAATGTCATGCACGTAGGGTATAACTACGGGTCTTTTTCGGTCGTTAGATTCCGGCTGGGCCTCGGAGTTGCATCCTTTCTTTATCTGTTTTAATAGCTTTTCAGCTATAGATCCTTAAGTTCAGGGCTGCGTAAGAGTGCAGCCCACCTGTCCTCGCTGAGGGCGGGGCCGATGACTTCACATTCCCACAACACATGATTAAATGTGGCTAACAGTCCACAAGAGGGGCAATCCGCACTTGGATACCGTTCAGGGTAGATGGCATGAAGAACCGCAGGGTTATGATACGCACTGGCTTGCAATAGTCTTAGGGTGACTGCCTGCGCCCTACACAAGGCCGGGTGTGGGAGAGGGAATACCCTTCTTGACAGATAGAAGTGCTTTGTTATTTCGTTGAACGTAAGTAAGGGTTGCCAGCGAGGCAGAGGGACTGTGGAGGCGGCGCGGTCAGTGAGTCCTCGCGTGGCCTCGTGTGCGCCCTCGTTCGGGTTAGAGGTAGAGCCCTCAATCGACCCCAGGTGAGCGGGAAACCAAGTTAGAGAATGGGGTGTGATACTCTTGACGCTTTGGAGAATGCGGAGGGCCTGAGGGGCTACCATCCCGGTTTCGTAGGCTTTGATAGCCGCCTTGGAGTCGCTGTATATTAACTCTCTGCGACTATCTAGCATAGCCAGCGCGATTGCAACCTGTTCGGCTATCACGGGCTTCGATGTGCGTACTGTGGCGGAGCAAGTGAGTCTGGAATTTGAGTCGACGATGGAAACAGCGAATGCCTCTTGTTGGACATATGGCGCAGCATCCACAAAGCTTGCATCAGTGGGGTTGCTACGGACGTGCTCGAGCAGAGCTCTACCCCTGGCCCTACGTCGACGGACGTTGTGCGCTGGGTGCATATTGCGTGGAATGGGTGCGATGTGCAGTTGAGACTTGATGTTTCTGGGAATCTGCATGGAATCGGGGCACTGGTCAATAGAGTTTAGGCCCAAATCATCGAGTATCTTGCGGCCCGATTTGGTTCCGGAAAGCCTGAGCAGCTGTGAGCGCTCTTGCGCCTCGATTATCTCTTGGAGTGTATTGTGAACACCGAGCTTGAAAAGGTTTTCAGTGCGAGTGCTTACAGGCAAGCCGAGCGCGAGCTTGAAGACCTTTCTTATGAGGGAATTGAGCTCACTTCTCTCTGCAACATGCCAATTATACATGGCCGCCGAGTACAAAAGGTGGCAGAGCACAAACGCATGTATGATGCGTATGAGATTCTCTTCCTTGATTCTCCGGTGTCTGTTGGTGATCCTCCGGATGAGGCCGAGAGCACTTTCCGTCTTGGTAGTGATCTGTCTGAGTGCAGCTCCGTTAGCGCCGTTGGACTCGATATACATTCCCAATATTCGGAGCGAATCCACTCTGGGCACTGGGGACCCGTCACCAGTGAAAAGCCGTATTTCACTTTGAGACGCAGGTTTCCAGTCACGGTGGCCGCCACCTCGGGGTCTTTTCTTGTAGAGCAGAAGTTCAGATTTCGATGGGGAGCACCTGAGACCGGTGGGACGGAGTCTTTTAGATGCGGAAGCATCTTATACTCGCGCCTTGTAGTGCGCCGTCCGCGCCGTCCGCACCGCTTCTCGAACATTCGACAGCTGACGCGCGCGCATGCGCCGTCGCCCACTCTTCCACCATCTGTGCATCCCTTCCTCCTCTACACACCGCGCGCGCTTCACTCCTCCACCATCTGTGCACCCTTCCTCCTCTACACACCGCGTTCGACATCTACAATTCTCCTGATTCTCCAGTGGACGCGCATGTGGCGTCGCGCTTCGAGAACATTCAACAGCTGACAGTGCATGCGCCGTCGTGCTGTATATATACTCAAGGTCGGCGCTCGCTCGCTCAGTTGCCGCTCGTCGGTTGGTTTGTACGGCGCGTCGACGTCCAAGGTCGCGGTGAAATGAATTCCAACGAATCCACAAACAAAATGATCGACGTCCCTTCGACCAGCGCCGCCCTTTCGCATACGTGTGTACGTGTTCACTCATTTAACACCCCCTCCTACAACCACGTTAACCAATTTAGCCATCGACCCAAGTAAGTCGCAATTTAACACCCCATTTCACAACCACGTTAACCAATTTAGCCATCGACCCAAGTAAGTCGCACTTTAACACCCCGTTAACCAATTATATGGTCCGCATCCTCCTCAGTGTTCCCCCGAGGGAAGCTGCGGGCAATTTTTTTTCCTTTTCTTTTTCTCGCTCTCTCTCGGCTGGAAGTTGGCATAAAAACGCGTCGGAGCCTACTAAATTTCGTCTGATGAAGATCGGTCTCCGATCTAAACGTCACCAATAAACAGTTTTTTAGAGGCGTATACTTATTTTTCCTATATATATATATTACGAATAAATATAGCACCTGGTACTATATAAACTCTATTTAAGGTGAACTTGTGCCCGTAAACTCAAACCTAGAAATGGTCAGCCA